ATAAGGTCAGGCAAGAAAAATGTTTCCAATGAGGAATAAGTAATCGATTTTTCCCCCCCCCCCCCCCCCCCCCGCAACGGGGGATGATCGCACCACGTTGTGTTAAAATGGTCAAGCTTCCTCGAGGCAGTTACACAGTGCTTACAACTGTCTCTGGAAGTGAAAGCACCAGAAAATAAATTAAGTCATACGTAGCTGCCATCCGTACGCAAGGAAGTAAGCACAAGATGCCGAACACCCTTAGCAGGATGCAGCTCACCCTTCATGCGACTCGCCAAATACTTCACGGCGCTTCGCGCTTGGTGATGTGAGAGCCTGGTCCGGTGAGAACCCGGCGTGCTCCGTCCCGGCTTTGTAGGGATGCGAGGTCAATGGTCAAACGACTACGGCATGCACGACTATGAGTACCCCCCCCCGCGGGCGCGCGCGTGGATCACCCGGTGACGTAACTCGTTCCGGACACAGCTACTGGCGCGCATGAGAGAGTTGGGAGTACCTTGGCGCGCCGTGTTCACCGACGTCAGGGAAGAATCGGGAAAAGATAGCTCCTGCGGCGTTCTCGGGGTGGCGTCGATAGTCCAGGTACAATCTCCTGGTAGAGCTGCCGTCCGCATTTTATGACAACCCTACGACACACTACACCGCGTTGGGAGTTTTGGTGTCGGCAAAACTGGACAGGTTAGGGATTTGGCCGGAAAGCGTGAAGCTGGGGGAGGGGGGGCAACCAGGCGATACCTTATGAGCTGTCGTACACGTTACCATTTGGCGTAAAACCTCGCAAAAATCAGGCACGGTTTCGGCAGGTTTCCCCCGCACCAGTCTAGCGTGGGTGAGACTCTCTTGGGTCGAAGGGTGTGGGAAGCCTCATAGATTTTCTACAGTAGCCTTGTTCAAACTCCGCCCCTTTCAACCACGGGTTCGGTCCCTAGCCATCGACGAAGCAAGATTTCAACCCTGTCAGGGTCGATTTGTTCCCGCACTCGACATCGCCACGAAAGGGAAGACGGTCATCCCAAGCAAACCATTTTCCTGGGGGTTATTCGTGACGCATCGTATTGCCTGGCAAACCAACTCGGGCGTGGACGAACAAAGTGCGAATTCACAACTCCAGAGGGGAAAAGGGGGTCGTGTGCCGAACCCTACGATGGTTTAAGGCCCAGCTCAAGATAACCCACGAGGCCAAGTGTACACTTGGTTCATTCGTATGAGGCTACCCGTTCAACAACGCGTGGTTTCATTCGTATTTTCTACCTGTTGAAAACTCATACCGTGGTATCGATATTCTTCGTATTCGGCGCCAATCGAGACTCCCTTGCACCCAGGGAGAGTTGATTGCCGAACGCTCCCCCGGTAGAACGGAACGCATGCAGCGTCGAGGAATCGTTATGTTACCAACGCTATACCGTGGCTCGCTTGTACAGAAGGCAAGGATCATGCGATAGGTGGGCACTCCAAGCCACTGGAGCAGATGGGACGGCGGCGAAACAGTAGCAGAACAAGGAACCCGCCAGTAGACCTAGCCCCTCTGCACACACGCAAACGTTCGGCAATCTGTGAAAATGCTGTTTTGACGCGACAACCTCGCGATGTTCTCAAACGTGCTTGAACGATGGCCGGACACAGGCGATGCGCCGAAACGGGTTGTCGATTGGTGCCGACGACGCCTCTTTTCTGGCGAGGCGTTTCGCACGAGGAGGCGGATCCCAGGTACTGCATGAATTGCTTCACAGTTCAAAGCGCACACCATTTGGCCAAGACTATCCGGCAATGATGCCGCCAGACATCCATTTCCGCCTTTCAATGAATCGCGGTTTCCCTCCATTCACTGTGAAAACTCTAACACATCCCGTTCGACTGTAGTTATATGTCGAATGGGTAGTCTTTCTGTGTTTGTATTTTATGTTTCCTAATCGTGGTGAACGGCAGCTTTGGAAGATCCACGAAAGGGAGTAGCAGCAACAATGCATAGCAGCAGCTACGCAGCTCTCAGGCACTGCACTAAATGTTCAGAACTTGTCACGTCGAATAGTAGTGTCGCGTGCAAGATAATTGTCGCCCACTGTGGACCATGGGAGGTCGCAACTTCGTCTCTTCGCAGCTACTCTCTCACGGATACCCCGGCATATATTGTGTGCATGACTGTCTGCGACTATTCGATATCGAACCCTTGCGGTGAAAAAATCGGTGGCAGGTACTATTCCACGCCCTCTGCGACGCAATCTACCCCTGCGACTTTTCTCCACCAGCTCCGTCCCGATCGTCTCCCATCAACTTCGAGGGCGACGATTCCGGTGGAGCCCGTCACTGCAGCATTGGCAATGGCTGTCGTGATAGTGTCGATAGCGAGGGGTGTGCGGAAGACCGGTCCATGGGTGGAATACGTGGAGGTCGCGCCCCCGGTTGTGATTTTAACCTTGGCGGCGGCAGCGGCGGTGGCGGGGTTGGGTCTGGTGCTGGTAGTGATCATGGGGACGGAGGGCAATGGTCGTTGTGGGACCGTCGGGCCCACGCTCGCCATCCCGTACAGCAATCCCTTGGCCGAGAAGGGGGCGATGAATCGTTTTGCTGCGGAAAAGGGGAAGGAGAGGGGAGTTCTAGGTGTTGGGATGAGGAGGAGGCCGTGTTTTGAACAAAGGCAACGGCGAACAACTAGCAGTGGGTGCTCCGCCGCTCGTGCTGTAAGCCTGAGCTATGCAGCCTACCTGTTTGTCCACTTTCGGGCAGGGCGGCTGAAAGAGGCCACTGTGAGCGCAATACTACTGATGCTTGCTTCTGTTACCCCTGGCTCATTCGAATTCGGGGATGTGGCAAATATTTTCTGCCCCCCGCACAGACACCGTGAGGGGGTTGTTTCTGTCTCCACACAAAAAAAACTGCCTTTCATCAACACACTCGTTTTGTCTCTGCTCTTCAAGGAAAAAAAAGGAAGCCTAGCGACCCCAAAGCAAGACGCAGACAGATGATATCCCGCTACGCTCGAAGAAGTGATTTTTTCAGACAAGATCCAGAAGTACCACATGAATCATCGTGCATGCAAGGAAAGTCTCAACAAGGGGAACCCATGTGGACCTAGCTCGGAAGCTCGATTAGAGGGGAGTGTTTTTTCGGTTGAGTTTTTCCGCCGAAAGGATCAAAACACCACTAACTTCACCCCACGGCTCTCATAGACGTGTTTTTTGGAGGGTTATACAAATCAATGAAAATCAACAATAGTCGTGACAGGCAAAAAGCATCGCCACTATGTGAAGCAAAAAACATCGCCAACGGGTCGAATGGACCCCCTGAACTTCGCTGCCAGCCCCTCGCCGCCCAAGGAGAGTCAGTCCCAAAGACAGTATCGCGTGCCATCCGGGGAAGGGGTGCCTCACTCTACGTTCGGTTGCGTGGAAAGTCGGCAACAACAAGGACTTTTGGTCCTCGGAGTGCACAACCCACACTTGAGCGCCTCGAGACCCTCGTGCAGAGGCCGGGTCAATGTCCCTGCCGCGGACAAGAACGAGGAATGGTGCGAGGCGGAGCGGGCGCTGCCGTACATCAAGGAAGGATCGGTGCCCAACGGATCCTTGGGCACCCGTTCCTCCTTCAGGTATGGTAGCGCACACTCCGCCACGCGCTACTCCACGTCCCCGTTCAGTGCTGGGATAGTGCCCCCGCGGACCAAGTACTTGTTCTCGTCGACTGCCCACACGCCCGGGCGGAGGAGAATGAGGCACCCGGGGTCCTCGAACTCCCCGATTTGTCCCCGAGCGGGATGGTGCCCGCCGTCGCGAGGTTGATAGATCCCCTGAGCTCCGCTGCCAGCCCCTCGCCGCCCGCGGAGAGTCCCCAAGACAGCTGGGGTGCCATCCGGAGGCTCGGAAAGGGGAGGGTTGCCCGTCCTCATCGTGTTCGCCAGCAGGTGGTCGGCCTTCCCCTTGTTGGGTCGCTCCCGATCTGGTTGCAGCACGCCCCCGCATAGCACCTCCGGCCGCCTTTCCCTCAAGTGTTCTCTTGGAGACACTACCGTCTGTCTTCACCCCGCCCGGGCGCCCACTCGCAGGACGAGTTAGCACACGAGTTAGCTGCGATCCCCGCACTATTTTTCGGTGCCGATTCCCGCTGCATAAGCATTTGCCCTCGTCAGCGTTATGCAGTGCTACCTCGAACCTCGACGATTTTCCAGTACGTATGCCCACTGCACAGGGATTCGCTCTGCTCGGAACTGGTAGAAACTCGCGCACGATTGCGCGAGCGCACCACACTACCGTGGAGGCTGCAGCAAACTCGGGCAGACCTAACACCGCATGATGCCGCGCTCCTTCGCGTTGCAGAATGTAACCAATTCGACGCCCCCTTCTTGCTGCACCGGAAGCACCGACGGGAGGTTGGTTTCCTGCGCCGTTGCCGCTATCATTACCATTGCACGGGATGGCGTTCCTCGGTGTAGCCTACAGGTGGCCCTCTGAGTGTGTTACAGTAGTTCTTCCCACCGCCGGCGACCGCGACGAAAGCCTGTTGCGCTGCCCCTGCCTGGCTGTTCCCAACCTGCCTCTGGCTGCAAAGGTTTTTTGAAGAGTAGCGAGTCCCCGCTACGCGAGAGATGTTGTGCTCGGCAGCGGACGGAAGCTCCTCCTTCGCATTCTAATACTCTGCGCGCTGGGGGGGTATGTATTCGGGAAGCGCGTGAAGACAAGGTGGTCATCATGGGGCGCATTTCTCGCATAATGTCGCGGATGGATGTCGAACTCGCCGGGTGCAACGATGGGGTCGTTTTTCGCATCAACTTTGTATTCTTCGAAACGTCGGAAAAGCTGCTGCACTTCCACTTGCGTCTCACGGGGGTTAGACGATACACGGCCTCCAAAGCCTCGGTCGCGTCCGTGGGGGGACCACTTGCACCTCGGGAGCACGTCACTGCGTTCTCATGATGTTGGCTCATCGCTCTCCTACATACGTTGTATGTAGACAAGCTTTGCCATCCGTGGAGTCGGGCAGAGCTCCTTGCTCATACGACTTCTCGGGTAGGTTGAGATGGCTCACGAAGCACTTACGGAGTATGTAGATACGTCCTCCAACCCCATAAACTCTCTCTGCGCTTGTCGCCCCTTGTTCAACTGCGGCGGATTGGACTGCTGTGCTATTTGTAGCATACTGCTGTAGAAGGACCTGGCTGCTGGATTCCCGGATTCCCCCGCTGTGTGTTGTGTCCTCACCCCACCATGGCTGCATGCTACCTGCCGCCATCTCACCTTGAAGGATCGGGCCACTGGCCCAGCCGCTGTCTTGGATGGTCGGATCCACAACGTCGGGTAGCTGGCCTGGGGTGTTGGCTGCTGTGTTGGCTGCCTGATCACAGATCATGGGGGTTGTGGTGCTGTTGTTCAATTTTCAATCGCTCAGTTTTCATCCACGGCACCTCTGCCAACACCCCCCCCATGTGTGTCCTGTGCGTATATCTTGCGTCGTGTGTGCCCCGCGAGCCAGCTTTGCAGAGACGCAAACAGCAGAGAGGCAAGGCGTCAACCTCTCTCTGTTGCCCAGCACTGCCTTTGCTACGCAAGCCGCTCACCCCGTGACACTCAAGGAGACTCATTGAATAACGGCTGTCGAGGGCCGCAGCAGACACGCGGCACCACACAGAGGCCAGGCCAAAATGAAGGCCGCTGCTTGTACGTCGTTGGTGTGCCTCGCCTCGCTAGGAGGCACCGTAGCCTTCGTGGCGGTGCCACCATCCGCTAGGCCGAGGTCCTCTTTCGTTGGCGATGGGCTGGTGAGGGTTGGCGTGCCGTCGCGGGCGGGCGCCCAGGCAAGGTACGAAAAAAGTGATGATGATGTTGCAGTTCGCGGGTTGTATGAGATTTTAATGTGCAGAGATCATGCGAGCGGCCGTGTGGGGCCCTCGGGGCAGCTCTCTCTCTCTCTGTGCACTGCTGCTGTGTGCTACGCACTGCTGTCTGCCCTTTCAGCCCGGCCTTTGCCGTCCTTTCGATGGCGGCGATCTGCTTTCCGTTATGGATGGTGCCGTCGCCCGAGGGGGTGCCGGTGCCACAGGCGTTGTCGGCGTTGGGATGCTGCTTGCGCGGTTTACACGTGTGGGCATCTTGCACACCTGGAAGTCATTCCTCAAGTACGTTGGTGCCTGTGGGTGCCTGCTCTGTGATTGAAGGCTGCTCTCCGTTGCGGCCAGGTGTTGCCGGACCTCCAACTAAAGAAACCACACCCATAACTACGCCCAAGTATGATCGAGGGGAAGCCGTCATGCCCGAGCAACGCGTAAGAATCATGCGGTTTGCCGATCCAACGTCGTGGACTCCCGTACACGTAACATGACGTAGATTACCACCCCCCCCCCCGGGACGGATTTCGACGCGCGATGCCTCACACAAACGGCAGAGTTTATTGAAGTTACCAAAACCTGTCACAGAAGATTGAAGGGTAAAATCTGCCGACAACATGCTTCGAACATGATGAGGACGCCGCTTAAGCATCGTGTCGGTGTGTGTTTCTTCCCTGCTGAACAATTGTTGCCGTACGTGACACAAGATACCACACCCCCTGGAGCGATTTTCAAAACTCAAACACTCGACAAAACGAAGAGGATGCGTAACTGAAACGATACGTTTTCGGAAAGCTCTCGAAGAGACAGATTCAACGCCGCCGTTCTCGGTGCTGCCACTCTTTTCTGCTGTGGAGAAATCGAGCTTTGAAAATGAGTCCAGGCAGTTTGGTATCGTAAGTCACCTACGGTACGGTAGGCGAGGGAGATACGGAGGGGGGGGGGGGGTGTACTCATACTCATACTCATAGTCGTGCATGCCGTAGTCGTTTGACCATTGACCTCGCATCCCTACAAAGCCGGGACGGAGCACGCCGGGTTCTCACCGGACCAGGCTCTCACATCACCAAGCGCGAAGCGCCGTGAGGTATTTGGCGAGTCGCATGAAGGGTGAGCTGCATCCTGCTAAGGGTGTTCGGCATCTTGTGCTTACTTCCTTGCGTACGGATGACAGCTGCGTATGACTTAATTTATTTTCTGGTGCTTTCACTTCCAGAGACAGTTGTAAGCACTGTGTAACTGCCTCGAGGAAGCTTGACCATTTTAACACAACGTGGTGCGATCATCCCCCGTTGCGCGGAGTGAGGTTTCTCGACCCCGTACAACATGATCTACTCGACCACCATTCATGGTTACCGCCAAAAAAAAAAAACAGAGGTAAAAAAAAAAGACGGTAACCTGGTTGCCGAGTTCACGAAGTGAATTGGCTTGTTTTACAACGTCGTTGCCAATCGACGAAAACCCAATCCCGATGGCAAACACCGAGTGGAGGGGGGGGGGGGGGGGGTGGTATCCTACGCCGTGCCGTTGTAGCTAACACTTGTACGGCAGCAGAAAGGGTCATATTCCAGCACCCCTGCTGTCTTCTGTCTGCTCTGTAATTGACGGGAGGGGGTTCCACCAGTAACGGAGTGTAGGCGTGAAAACCCGCCCGGCGGCACATGTTCCTCCGCTTACCATTGCCGCCACCGATGCAAACAGCAGTAGGTGTGTAGCTGCCGCATATGGTGTTCTTTCCCACCAAACAAGGAGCCCCCGTCATCCCTCTCTAGCACGACGCCCTTTTGCAAGCAGGGATCCCCAATTTTTTTTTTTAGCAACCCCCGTCCAAGGACCTAGTCCTCCGCTTACCGCGGCCGTAACTAATGCAACCAACAGCAGCAGCAGATAGCTGCCGCATATCGTGTTATTTCCCACCCAAAGCAGAAGCCCCCGTCATCCCTCTCTAGCACGATGCCCTTTTGCAAGCAGGTCGCCCATATTTGTCGTCAACCCTTTCTAGTACCAACCCCCTTCCGCGAGCAGACCCCCCATTTTTTTTTTTTGGAACTCCCATCCGTCCCAGGCGGCCTGTCGCTGGCCTCAGCATGTTGGTGGAGCCAATGGGGAAGGACAGCTTCAAGCAGATCGAGGAGGAGGTTGACTCGGACCCGATCAAGAAGTCTGTCAGCAAGATGACTCCAGGGGTGGCTAAGGTATCGCCCTTTTTTGTCCATTTGGGCCGTTTTTTTATTTTTCGCCGCCAGTGCGGGGGGTATTTTGGCGAAGGTGCCCGTTTTCTTTTATTGGGTGAACTCAGGTACCTATCTACGTTGAAAATCGACAAGAGCTCGGGTCGGTAGCCTTACCGTTGCAATTGCAGCAGGATGCGTTTATGGGTGTGATGGTGTTCGTGCATTCGTTTCTGTTTCTTTTTGTCGCAGTCCCCGATACTAGACACTGGGTGGAGCGGCATCCACCGCTGTGCATAACAGCAGCAGCGGCAGCTATGTTATCATGCTTTTCAACCGGCGTGACCCCTCAACGGGCAGGCTGTTTACGTGCGGCTCATTGCGTGCCGCCGAACTATGCACACATGTCGCCAAGCTTGAATCGGCCCACTACGATTTACGCAATATGCCGCTGCAGCAACTGCCCCCCGGGCGGTCTCCGCATGTAAATGCTCCCCGTAACCAACCCTTGAGTAATGATCCAGACTACGTAGCTTTGTCTCAACCTTGTTTTGTAAGCATAGCGCTTCCCTTTTGCCAGTCGAGCGGCACTCCTTGCAGCGCAAGCACCAACACGCTTTCGCTCTTTTTCAAAGCACCGCCAACTGCTTGAAGGAATAGCCACGAGCGAAATACACACGGTATTCTTTTTTTATCCGACGCCCATGCACACAAGAAACGATCGTGGCCTGGCCATGAGATACCAAGCATCCTGAAAAGGTGTCCTATTCGGACTGCTATGTACCTTTCGCCTCGGTTCTGGGTGTCCACGTCATATCCAGGCCGTGTTGACGGGCGTCATCCCGATCGCCTCTGCGGTCGGTTACCTGGCCATGCCCGGCGGCGTTGCTGTTTCAGCCATCGGTAAGTCTGTTCATTTTGGGGCTTGACTGCTTGGAACGGAACGCCATTGCAGCATGAAAGCACTTGTTTTTGAGAGACTGGACGTCTGCCGTTAGTGGCGCCGCACATTGTTTTCATCGCATTTCTCTCAACCCGCCCCAAGAGAGGTATTTGTTGAAAGAGTTCTTCTCGTGAATTGTCTCCACAGTGTGTTCATCACCCACAGCATTTGGCGGTGCCCCCACGAGTGACTAATAGTGTTTACAGCACGCCAACGGTACCAGGCTGGTCCGCTCTCCTCCGACAACATAATGATGTCGGCTTTTCTGCATGTTTCAACAAAGCCCATCACGGTAACTACTCACCTGCCACCTACCAAAGAAACTAGAGTAGAAATGCTCTACTTAATCGCGGGCCCATCCTCAAGCATACCCAGCGTTACCAATCGAGTTTTACAATGATTCAGAAGAAACGCCACAATTGCTTGAAACATGAAGATCTACTGCTGTACTCCACTTCTATACTCTGTAAGCTGAGACTGAAACCGTGATGGGTTTCCTATCCCCCTGTTGGCGTTTTTTTATGAATTTGATCTCCAGGGGCCGTGGCTTCCGGTGTCGGGGGAAACTTGGCGAGGAAGAAGCTGAAGCAGGCCAGGCAGGACTCGGCCCCTGCACAGGTGCGCGGCTCGGGAGCCATCTTTTTTTTTTGTTGTACCGGGCGTTTGTGTAGACGTACGTACCCGTAGGCATTCCCGTACGAGTCGGAGAGATGGCACACACACACCCTAGACCGAAATTGAATGGTCGATTGCTCCACGACCAAGGGGGCGCGGACAAAGCCCAATACGTCTACGGAAAGTCCTCAACAATAGTTTTTTTTTCTCCTAAACCACAGTTTTTGGTGTTGGCACAAGCTTGGCTACGGACCAATTGGGCTTTGAAGATCGGTCAAGCGGGGGGTGCGATCTCTCCACCTCTTACGGTAGTTCGCCTCTGAACGCACCTTGACATCTGGGACGCTGCGCTCTTTGATACGTTCCCCTGGACAAGTCATGGAACAGTGGGAGTCCCTCGGTAGTGCCGCGGTTGAATAGTACCACGGCCCGGGTTAGTGGTGCCGCTGAAATGGCGTGACACCGGTGGGGAATTGAAAGTTGTCTCAATTCTCTGAATAGTGGCGGGGACCTGGTATTGTTCCGGTGGATCTGGCGTGCACATACCGGCACTACAGAGGAAACTCCCCTTGCACTTGTTGTTGAGAATGAGACAAGTTGAACCTCGTGGGTGCTGAAAAGAAACGACGGATTTGTTTGGCAGCTTGAACGAGCATATCACGTGCTATGTGCACCGCTTGCGTCAGTGAGGGTCGAGATGTCTAGCACTGGAAGTTCGAGCGGCGGTGGATGTTCGGTTCTCCTTTCTTCTGGCCAGGTGGCCGGGTTGCTGGATGCCAAGGGCGTGGGGAACATCACCCCGCTGGAGATCATGGAGTCCTTGGGCAGCTTCGGACTGGAAGGGGAGGCGGCGGAGGACATCCTTATCCAGGTCGGTGGAGTTTGGGGCGTTTTTCTGTGGTCATTGGTTCCAGGAGCGAATCCGCGGTGGAGTTGTGTCTCTCGCCCTTTCGGGGTCGAGTTGTTGTTGATATTTGTGCCAGGAGGAGGCACGACGTAAAGAACCCCCTTTTAGAAAGATTATATCTCTGTACATGGGTTATCTGGACATGAACTTTATGAGGGTTAGTGTAGATTCTGTTCCGTGTGAAGTTCTTCACTGCCAGGTTCTTAAACGGTGCCCCGTTCCGTGTCATTGGCCTTGGCGTAGGGGGTAGTGCTTTGTTTTCCATTTCTGTTTCTGTCACAGTAGAATTCCTGTTCTTTCGCTTTACTATCGCTTTGCTAGGGAAGAGGCCGTTCGAAGCCCGTCTTCTGTCGATTCTCTACCAAGCGGGCCCTAACCGCTGGCGCCTGGTCGTCGTCGTCCTTCCGCCATCTCTGGTTACAACTCTCCACCCCCCTTTTTTTTTTCTCCTTCCTATGGAACAGCGAATCCATCTCTCTATCCAGTTGTGTGTGCTGAGGCGTGGACTCTCTCTCCCTCTTATGATTAGAACGTGGTCGCCGTGTACCAGAACCCAGCACAACGAACCCATCTCTATATTATCAGACGTAAGTACGCAAAGAATCCTATTTTTAATGTGTGCTGTGGTGTCGACTCTTTGCGCGTCTCTCTCTCTCTCTCTCTGTAGATCTTCTCCAAGTACGTGGTGGCCATGTGCCAGAACTCAGCGACGAAGACGAGCGAGATCAAGGAGCTCAGCGAGCTCAGGGAGACCCTCGGGTTGGACGGGCTCCTCATGGGAGAGGCGCTTTACCAGGTATGCGTGCTATGCATATGCATGCCACGTTTATTTTCGTGTTTTTTTTTGTGTGTTGCTCCTTTGGTTAGTTGTTGTCGTCAGTCAAGGAGGTGTCCGGAAAGCTTTTGTTTTGGTACGATGGAAGCGTAACTATGTCGGGAGCGAGTTGGGAGAGGGAGGGGCTGTGTTTTTTTTCTGCTATCAGTCATCCTCAACGTGTCGTGTGTCCGCTGTTTTTCGAGAAAGGTCTGGGTTGAACGTGCACAGGGGGGGGGGGGGACAGGTGTACTCATAGTCGTGCATGCCGTAGTCGTTAGACCATTGACGTCGGTGCACGAGGGGAGCAGGAAGCATGTGTCTTGCCTGGCGGAAATCTGCGTGTCCTTGGCGGATAAGGCCTCCCGTTTATCTCGCAATACATCATACTGCTGAACCCCTGTTGAAAGCCTTTTGGAGAGCTTAGTTGCCCCGCATTCTGTGTGTTGCGCAGATAGCAAGGATTGGGAGTGCGTGAGTTGAGTTAGTTGAGTTGGACGGGTTGTGGTTATAGGAAGACTCTCATCTGTCAGGAAGGGCCGGCGGGGGGTTCATTTCCGAAGGCGTTCTTTCGGTTTGATTGGGTATGCAATACTTGTGGTTGTTGTGTGTTGTGGGCCGGGAAGAACCAGCAACGTTTTCGGTTTGTGGGAATGTCGCTGATTGGCTTATTGTTGCCTTGTCGGCCAGAGGTAGTTTACACGCAGTGCTGTCTTCGGATTGCTTGCACGCGATTTAAATTCGATACCCCAATTCCCAGCTTCTCCTTATTGCCCTCCAGGACAGACGTAGGGGGGCTTTTATGGTAGAAGCTTCTTTATTTCGTAGCCGTCTTTCACCTCGCGCGGTTATAGTAAATACATGATTTAACAACTGTCGCACAAAGTCGGCCTCGCCAGCGTGCTCCTCCGCTAAGATAAAAAAAATGCGTTTGTCGCCACCCACAGGCAGCATCGCCAGTGTACAGTCAGTTCGTGATGAGGACCCCCTCCGCCGAGCTGGCAGACGAGTGGTCCCCCAACCGCCGGGCCTTGGACAAGTTCATCTTCCTCTGCGACCGCATGTTCGAGGTGAGGACTTGTGATGACACTCGAAAGGCTTGAGTGCAACAGAAAGGCCGCTTTGTAGCGCCGTAACCCCCCCCTCCCCACGAAGTTTTGACACGTCACCCCCTCGTGCGATTCCCCTGCTGAAAAATTAACCAACCTCGCTTGAAAAGGTTTGCGACACCAAGGACGCGTACTCGATCGAGATGAGAGCCACTTTGTAGTACCTCTCCCCCCCAAAGTTCTAACGTGCCCGCCCCCCCTGCCCCCTGCAATTTCCCTACTGGTGGCCATCCTCGATTGAGAAAGTTTGCGATAACGGAGGAGACGTATTTGCACGAGATCAGCCTCTCAAGTAGCACCGCTACCCCCCCTCCATGCAATTTCGCTTTGTAGCGCCGCTATCCCCCCCCCGGCCTCCGCCCCGTTGAAGTCCAAACACGTCACCCCCCGCCCCTCCTGCGATTTTCCCCCACGGCTTGAAAAAGGTGTGCGACACCGAGGAGGCGTACTCTTTCGAGATGAGCCGCATCAGCAAGATGTTCGACCTCAACCTCGGTGAGGTGAAGGAGCGCTGCGCAGCCATCGCCAACCCCTTCTACCAGAAAGCGCTCGGCTCGGCCGCCGCGAAGTGGGAGTCGGTCAAGGCTGACCAGCTCAAGAGGGCCCGCCAGACGCTGGGGATGGACGAGGAGGTGGCCCACGAGATGCACAAGGAGGTTTACAGGTGTGGGCTGTGGGCGATGGTGGTGGTGGTGGTGGTGGTTGTTGTTATTGGTGGTTGAGTTTGTTGCTGTTTTGGTGGTGCTGGTGGTGTTTGTTGCTGTTTTTCGGTGGTTTGAGTGTTGCTGTTTTGGTGGTGGTTGAGTCGTTATTGCTGTGGGGATGGTTTTTGTGGCGGTGTTGTTGTCGGTTGTTGTTATTGTGGTGGTGGATGTGGGTTGCTGTTGTTGTTGTTCTCCAGCGGCAACCCTGCCACAATTTAGTCATTGATGCTTCCACATGATCCCTAAAAACGCGCAAGGCTCCGCCATATCACTCCCCCCCTGCAACTTATCGTAGAGGCAGTGTACGACATACGAACTAGTCGTAGAGCCAGTTTACGACACACCAGTACGAACTAGGTGTTGTCGCCGTTCTGTCTCTCGATTTGGTCTCTCGCATCATCACCGTGAATGCTGTCGTTGTTCCCGATACACGCGCTGGTGTTAATTAAGGTCGGAGGCTCTCAAGCTTGTCAAGAAGGACGGAGAGGCCCGCGACATGAAGCTCGACAGGGCGGACAAAGCCAGGCTCGGCAAACTCGCCGCGGCGTTCGGTGCGTGGCCTCGTGTGGTTGTTCGATGAATTAGCCAATGGCCCTGTTTTCCTCGAACATGCCTCCAAAGAAATCCTTTAAAAGGACTGATTTTGTTTGGCTTGAGAAGCGTACCTTCTTCTGAAACGAGAAATTTCAGAAGTTTGTTTGAAAGTCTTCTATATTTAATGAGTTTATGTCTATTCCAATTTATTTTGGTAGAATGGCGTGTGGTGTTGCTACATGTTTACCATAAATAACACCTCGGTCTCTGTGTGCGTCGGATGAGACGTTGCTGTGCGTCGGGGCTTGTAAGCTCGCCGCGCGGCCTTCGGCACGTGCCCTTCTGGCCCTACATAGTCCTGAACACCGAGAAGTTTACATTTGACAAAGGGTAGCACCTCTCTTCCTGTGTCGATAACTTGCGTAGTAGTATCTCGTTGTCGTTTTGGCGCCGTGTGGTGCTTGGTCGTCGTCTTCAAAGGAGACTAAAACGTAACAATCAAACGAAACACGTCAGCACAGCCGCGTTCTGGCGGCCCCCAAACTTCCGTACCACAAGCTTTTTCCCAGAAGAGCAACAGCCCTGAAAATTTCGACGAAAATATACCATCGACAACCGGTTACACCTCCCTCCTGTGTCGACCTAACTTACGCATCTCGTTGTTTTTTTGTGGTGTTTGTTCATTGTCTTCAACATCGACAAAGGATAGCTCCCCTCTTTCCTATATCGATAACTTTTGCATCTCGTTGCTGTTGTGGCGGCGGCAGAGCTCTCCGAGGAAGACGCCACTGCGGAGTACGAATCGGTGGTGAACCCCATTTACGAGGAGCTGGTGGTGGAGTGCCTCGGCAAGATCATGAACGAACCGGAGACCTCCAAGCCGGACCTCGCCCGGACGTACGGGGAGCTGATGGTGAGGCGGAGTCGGCGGCAGCGGCATGGCGTGTGGTTGTTGATGTATTGCTTGTTGTTGCTGCTGTGGCTGTTGCTGTGTCATCCTTGTTGGTGTTGGTGTTTGTTGTTTTTGTGGTGGTGTTGGTGGTGGTGGCTATCGTTGTTGATGTTGTTGTTGATGGTGGTGGTGGTGGTGGTGGTTCTTGGTGGTGGTGTTGTCATTGTTTCCGGTTTCGTTGTTGTTTGTGTTGACTTGATCGGTTCCGAGGACTTTCCGGTACCTCCATGGTTCTCTCTAATCCTAACAGCAGTGATCCTGCTGTAAATTAGGCCAAGAATTCGCAAAGCTTCATATAACGGCTCACCCCTCTTATCACGTGTGTGCCTGCTGCAAGACTAGTTCACCACTGCTGTTCCTTGTGAAGAGTGTTTTTTAGTTCACAACCTTAGTTCACAACCTTCTGCTTTCGTATGGGACTGATCCCGCCGGAGCTCAAGTTTCATGTTGCTGTTTTCGAACGCTACAGAACCAATATTAGTGTTTGCTGTGGATCATTGTGTTCTTTTTTTTTGGTCATTTGTCCAAGCCAGCCGAGGCTAGGGCGAGGCGTAATGTACCAGCAGCAAATTATGGTAGGGTTATTTTCTCGTGTTTTTGCATGTTCGGTGAAGACCCTTCTCCGGGGTATATGATATTCGTGTGAAGTAGCACTTTTCGCTCCGTCCCTCTTGCCGGTTACCCGTATTCTTATTCCGTGGTATGCATAACCGCTGCGGTCCTTGCCGGTCACTCGCGATCTTCTTCCGTGGTGACCGCTGCTGTGCTTGCCGGTTACCCACATTCGTTTTCCGTGGTGACCCCTGCTGTGCAACGGGAATGCGGTTGGTGTTCTTGTCGTGTGTTTTGTCATCGTCCCCTATGCGTCGTCTCGCTCGCTAACTACGGGGTTCTGCTCCTATTTTTTTTTTTTTTTCAGATGTTCTCCGCGAACACGGGTCTTCGTTCGGAAAGGGCGGAGGAATCTCTCCGCAACATCATGACGGCCAGCGTGCAGTACATGTTCGAAGACGCTGCTCAGGTACAGCGCAGTACGCGCGCCCATTTGCCGTCGTTGTTGTCGTGGTGTGTGGAAGTAGTTGCGCGTGCAGCGTGGGCGGTGGGCAGGTACGGTAAGCTCACCTGCTGCTGTCGGCACCGTTCGTTGTGGTTGGTTGACGATGTACCAGCTTATTTAGCGGGGGCGGCGGCGGCAGCGGCGGCCGCCCGAACCAATGGTTGAGTTTACGACAAAGCTGGGGCAGCCAACAAACAGCTTGTTATCCACGCGGGTCGTGCAACCACAAAAATTCTACCCTATGGAGAACGAGAGAGAGAGAGAGAGAGAGAGAGAGAGAGAGATGCAAGTGGCCGTCTTGGGATTATACACAGAGAAGGAGACGGGAGGTTTGGTTCTGTCTGAGTCGTTGACCCAGATGGTTTCCGTGTCGCTGTTGATGTTGCCACCGTCTATGCGCGCAGTACGTCCGTGTGGCCAACCAGAAGGAGGGCGCTAAGGCCGCTCGCGGCATGGCAGCGTTCGTGCAGTCGACCTTGGACATGGTCTCCATCAACGTGACTGACGATGAGACGGGGGAGAAGACTTACAACTTGGTCATCGGGGGTGAGAGTCGTCCTTGTTTTTTCGCGCCTCCCCCCAATTTCATATATTTATCCGAAACTGAACCAAAACACCAAGAGAACTAAAATCACAACGTGGTAATCGGGGGTGAGATCCTTCGTTGTTAGTATTGCGTCGTCCTCCAGAGTTGAACTTTGCAAAACATCTTGGTCGGTACAGCAAGCACATGCGGTAGCATTTCTTGTGCGATTTCGGTGTGTGTGTTTCGCATGGTTTGGTGAGGCGCAGTTCTTCGTACACGCACACGGTCCTGTGGTGCATGATCTTCGGCCGGCGCATTCATGCGGTAGGCATCGAACCGTTACGATAAGCCGCTGACGAGCCTTGTCGCTGGAAGGCACCCGTCTGGAAGGGGTACCGGGAGATCCGTCAGTCTTGTTTTTTATATTTGTCCAAGTATTTGATGATGAATCATGTGCCTGGTTGCCGTGTGTAGTTGGTTTGTAGTTGTCGCGCCGTGGGGGTCTTGAATTTTTCAGCCACCGCAGACGACTACAAACAATGCGGGGAGAATCGAAGGGTGCGTTCGTATCATCTTGATGGGGTCTCAGTGGTATGCCTTGAGGTTGAGAGATGATTAAGCACTTGACCTCTCGCCCACGACTCGATGGTACGTTTTGAAGACCCGCACATTTTTTTTTCAGCGACCATTGAAGCCGAAATCCAACCAAGCGCTGACTAGGCTAATGGTTGATTTCGGCTTTTATACGACACGCTTGGATGGTTCCCCCCCCCCCATACACCCTGAACTTGACGAACACTTTCTCGCCCCCCTTCCCTTGGCGCCAGGGTCCGTTATTTCTGGAGAATCGTACAGCGATGCCCCTGGACTGTACGAGATGTTCCTCAGCTCATGCTTCGCCCAATCTGCGGTAAGCAAGGGGGCACAAGAGATGAGAACCCTCGAGTGCGGTTGGTTCGCTCTCTGCCCCGTCTCGTGGGCTATTTCTTCCCTGCATTGTATACGCCCCCGCCACTAGGTTCAAGTGTACGAGTTCCTCCCCAATTGTTTCATGCGCCACCCCTGCAGATGCAAGTGTTGGCTGCCTTTTTGTTCTTTTTCCCTACCGTTTTGGTGCGGGCGTGTCTCGTGATGAAGTGTAAAAACGCGCCTCCATTCGATCGATCCACCTCCCCCCTCTCGGGGGGCGATATGTATCCGGCGTTTTTATTCGAGACCGCCATGTATGAAGGCGAGACATCTGAGGGTTGCTGTGTGTGCGGTGCCTTTGGGCTCCAATCAACGGACATGGTGGATGCTCTGACCCCCCTCCTTCCCTCCCGATGCCGCGGTTTGTGATTGTGTTGTAATTCGTTGTTGGCAGATGGAGGAAGGCGACACCGAGACGATCGCGCTCCTGGCCAAGCTGCTCGAAATCGACGAGCTGCGACAGGTAAGAGGAGGGTTGTTCGTTGGTGTTGTTCTGATCGGCGTCGTCGTTGTTGTTGTTGATGTTGCTGTTGTTATTGTTGTTGTTGCTGTGTTTCTATTGCCATCGTCGTCGGGTCGGTTCAAAGGATTAGCATGGGCAACATGCCCCCCCCCCCCACACACACACACACACATTTAGAATGGAGCTGCAGCTTGCTCACACTTCGTTCAAATCCGACCAAAAACGACAACTTCTACCCAAAAAGTGTCTGTATTTTGAGTTTCTTCGTGGATCCTTCCACTGGCAGAGAGAAATTTCGAGTTGGACGAGATTTTGTGCAACTACGATACGATACTAAACTCGGTCTGTCTACTTTGCTGTCTGTTTGTATGCCTTTCTGTCTCTCTATCCATCTCTTATTCCCTCTCTTTCTCTTTCTCTCTCTCTCAACCCCCCCCCCCCACCCCCCCCTTCTTTAACAAGGCCATGGTCCACCTGAAGGGGGAGGGGCCCCCCGGGTCC